GAAAGGCTTTTTGAATGTTTTACAGGGACTGGGGGAGCCAGGGCCACCGAGGAATGGTGCAGGCCACGTGATGGCAGCCGTTTGCTGTGAAGCACCTTCCTCGTGAGGCCGCGGTGCTGAGGTTTGCATGCTCCTCGCTCTTTGTTTTCATGCACTGTCGCGTCCCTCTTGCACGTCAGTGCAGGGTTGCATCCATAGCTAGCATTTCCCGCCTTCCGTGTCTCTGAGTGCAGACTCGCCTCCTTATGTTCCTGAGAAATGCTGAGATGGTTCCTGGGGTCATTCGTGTTCTCTGAGAGACACCTGAGAACACCATTTCACCATGGAGCCAAGCTTGGAAGTTGACAGGTGGGCCGATAGCTTTATTAGCTGCTGTTTGACTTACTGTCATTAGTAAGGTCAAATGTTGAGATCCTCATAAATTCTTCCACTGTTTTTTCACTTCCGGACAAGTTGGTTTAATAATCAAGGGGACACAAGCTGAAGCAACAAGAAATGGGGTTTTACTCATGGAACTGGGGACAGTTTTTAAGTTTGGTCATCAGTGTGGCCAGACTGGGCAGACACGGGCACCACCGAGGCAGCTGAGCGCGTGCCTAGAGGCGGGGACTCTGCAGCACCTAGGTTGGGCACCGGCTCTGCCCCCCCCCGCCATAGCCTGGGGCAGTGCTCAGCCTCTCCTCCCCCACTCCCTGTCTGCTAAATAGGGGGAGTGGGAGGGTCATGGTCCTGCCCCTGTTTCACACAGCCGCTCAAGAGCAGTGGTCCCCAGCCCCCTGGCCTCAGGGCTGGCTTCGTGGAAGACGGTTTTTCCATGGATGGGGGCAAGGGGAACCGTCAGGCATTTGATCCCCAGAAGGAGCACACGATAGCGCCATTCACAATAGGGTTTGTGTGCCTATGAGACTCTAGTGCCTCCGCTGATCTGACAGTGGACGGAGCTCCGCTCCCCTGCCGCTCACCTCCTGCTGTGCCCCTCAATTCCTCACAGGCCACGGCCAAGGCTTGGGGACTTCTGCTATAGAGAACAGGTGGTTAAAATAGGTAAAATACAATGACATATAGCCAGTGCCATGTGCATGTCTAGGCAGTGAGGTTAAAGCACTCATTTTGTTAGTGGAAATGTAAAGCGATGCATTCCTTTTAGGAGGGATTTAGTCTTTCCTAAAACTTTAAAAGTGCTTTTGTTTTGTTTTTTGGGTCAGAGTCTTACTCTGTCACCCAGACTGGAGTGCAGTGGCACGATCGTGGCTCACCACAACCTTGGCCTCCTGAGTATCTGGGACTACAGACATGCCACCATGCCCAGCTAACTTTTTGATTTTTTGTAGAGACGGAGTCTCACTATACTGCCCAGGCTGGTCTTGAACTCCTGGGCTCAAGCAGTTCTCCTGCCTCAGCCTCCCAGAGTGCTGGGCTTATAGGCGTGAGCTACCATGCACAGCCAGCATATACCTTTTGGTCCTTCCATTTTCCTTATGTATCATACAGAAACATTCCCAACTGTATAAAAATTAAGTAAAAGAAAATAAACTCTCATATATTCCTGTACACTATGTCATAGTTAAGACAGTTGGAGTCATTGGTGTGTGAATATGCCAACACAGACAATCCCATGGAAAGATCTGCAGGAATATTTGGTGAAAAGATCAAGTTGCAGAAGGCGATGCATGTTGTGATTCTGCTTTTCGTTGAAAACGAATTTATTGGCCAGGCGAGGTGGCTCAAGCCTATAATCCCAGCACTTTGGAAAGCCCAGACGAGAGGATTGCCTGAGCCCAGGGGTCCGAGACCAGCCTGGGCAACTTGGTGAGACCTTGTCTCTACAATAAATCAAAAAATTAGCTGGGCATGGTAGCACGCACCTGTAGTTCCGGTTACTTGGAAGGCTGAGGTGGAAGGGTTGCGGGAGCCCAGCAGGTTGAGGCTACGGTGACTGGGAGTGTGCCACTGCACTACAGCCTGGGCGACAGAGAGAGACCCCGACTCAAAATGAATAAATAAGTTTATTTGCACAGGCAAACACCCTATAATGTAATTGTACATCAGGGCATCTGGACCTTTTTGTATAACCTTGACAGTGGTTACCCGAGGGCAAGATGTAAGACTGGAGTAGGAACAGGGACTTTACCCTTTTGCCACTGTGTTTGCCTTGGTCCTACTAAGAATGTGCTCCTGTGTTACTCGTAATTTTGCTTTTAAATTTTTATAAAAAGAAAATGGCCGTGAACTAAGATGTGCCCAGTGTCCTGGGACCAGAGGCAGAAAAGTGCCGGGGAGGGAAGACGGGGTGTTCGGTCCAGCCTGGATCTGCTCTGGGCCCAGTCCCAGCAAACCCCACTACTTGGACAGCTGAGCTGCCATGTCCATGCCTTCACCTTCTCATCTGAAAACGGGGACACACCGGCCCCCTCCAAGACTTGTTGCAGTTTGAGTCCCTGCGTGTGAAGAGCTCAGGACCCTCCTGGCGTAGGAGGAGTGCCGTGAGCATCGCCGTCCTCGGGAGGAGGAGGCAGCAGCAGCCCCAGGCCCACAGAGAGGCGGCTGGGGGAGGCGGGCCCCGAGGCGCCGCAGTCGGGATTCTCGGGCGTCTGGACCTGCCGTTGCGAGTGTGTTTCGCAAGTCTGCCAGGAAGAGACCCCAGAGGTCTGAGTGTTCTCTGTCTAGCAAGGGAATCTATGAAACATAAACGCACGGTGCTGGTAAATTCATTCATAGTTAGTATCACTAGTGTACTTTTCAAGTGAATATACTGCCCTCTGTGGCGGTCATTATTATAAACATAATTGAAAATTTCCTGCAACCAACACAGTTTGTAATGTCGAGGTATTCAGTGATTACAAGTCTTCTCATTAACTGTTAAACGTAGGAAAGAGGGTTATGCCACTGAGATGGCAAGCCGTACATTATTGGATCTTAAGAGAACCGTTTTCTCCTGGCCTCTGTTCACCGGGCTCCCTGGTCACCACAGGTCAGCGTTCTGAATCCTCCCACATTGGGGGTGGTCTCGGCTAGCCCAGCCTTTTGCTTTCCTGTGGCTTCGTAAGACAAAAACAGTGTCCTTTTAGTAGTCCTTATTGCTAACATGGCATGTTACAGCTGTTGCGACAAAGCGTCACCTGCCGGGTGGCCTTCAACAACGGCGATTTGTTGTCTCGGTTCTGGAGGCTGAAGTCAGAGGCCAAGGCCAGAAGGGCCAGCTCCCCTTGCACCCCTGGGGGCGGGCTTGCTCCAGGCCTCGCCCGCCCGTCGTGTTGCCACAGGCCTCGGCGGTCCCTGGCTTGCAGGCGTGCCACCCGTCTCTGCCTCCGTGTCTGTGTCTCTTTTTTTCTCTTCCTGTAAGAAGACTAGTCATTGGATTCAGGGTCCACCCTAATCCAGTTTGACCTTATCCTAACTCGACCTTAGAGGGTCCCTAGATTGGAACTGCTCAACTTACAGCTCTCGACTTCAGGATGGGGTCATTCTAAGTCCAGTAGCGTCTCTTCCAGCAAAGACCCTATTTCCAGATAAGGTCACAGTTGCAGACATGCAGGGTTATCTTTGAGGGGGACAGAGTACAACTCACCACAGATACCAGACCTTGAATTTCCAACTTTCACTCTGAACCTTTGCAGAGGACTGTGGTGGAGTGAGGAAGCGGTGGTGGGACCACTGAGGACTCCTCTGCTTGTCCCTTTCAAGTTTGGATGTGTTGGGTCTTTGCCCAGAGACTAACACACAGGCCAGTGTTCCGAGCTCACTGTGTCCAGGTGGCTTCATGTGGGTGTTACTATTTGGGCAGCCTTTTCTTTTCTGTTCTAGCTAGCTAGCTCGACCCTACTTGACTCTCACGTCTAGGCTCATTCTCTTCCAGTCTCTTTTGTGCTTTTTTCTTATATGCCAGTTGCTTGACGCAAATGAGATCTCCTTTTGTAAATTTTAAATTTTCTGTTGCCCCATTTATGTCTTTAGGTTCATTATAGACCCTAATATTTTAAACAGCAGACGTACACTTATAGCCCAACTTTTAGACCTTAAAACGACATTAAAGATTTGTATATGGAAACTTACAGAAACAAAGAGGATGTTCACCTGAGTGGTGGTCTCTCACTTAGATACACATTGAAGAATCTTTAGTCTTCAGAGATAAAATCCATGATCTTAGAAATATCTTAGCATATCTATTCGCTAATTCAGTCAACAGATTTTTGTTCCTGGACACTATTCAAAGGGTGGGATGCAGCAGTGAACAAAACAAAAACTGCATGTGCTCGGGAAGGCCACATACTAGTCAGCTGGTGCATGATGGGGAAATGGAGGGCTGAGTCGGGGTGCTTCCTGAGGGGACAAGAAGACCCCCCATTGAGCCAAACCATTGGACACTGAGGACGAGAGCCACACGGATGTCTGGGTAGGGATGAGTGAGCTGGGGTGTCACTGGCAAGCGAGGGCGCGGCCGCCATGGAGCCCACGGGCAGCAGGGAGACAGTCCTGAGTGCGGCAGTCTTGATCTGAAACGGTACGTTATCTAAACCCTGTGTCTCCTGACCCACAAAGCACGTGTAGCTTGCCTGCCATCCGAAAGAGTTTCCTCAGGGCTCAGCAGCCAGAATGCATAGCAGGAATCCTGTTTAGATTTCCAGCATAGAAATCGGGCCAAGGCCTAGACAGCGCTCCTCTGAGTTGCAGTGGGCCAGTCAGGATTCCCGTCGCCTCTGTCCGGGTCTTCAGTGGAGAGGGCGCGCTCCCCCTTTCGCCGTCTGCAGAGCGGGGAAAGCAGATCTTGCCGAGAGCAGGAGCTGGGGAGAGCTGTGGACGTGAGCGCCCACAGAGCGGGCAGGATGTCAGGGGAGCGCTGATGTCAGGGTTCTGAGCTAGCCTGGGCACTCAGTAGAGCCGGGGACTTGTCTGTCCCTGACACGGCCCCGGGGGCGGCTTCCGCGTGTGTGCTGATCGCGTGCTGGCGGTTGCCGTGGCGTCTCCGCTCACGCATGTTCAGATAATAACTGCCGTTGCAGGCCCACGGACGACAGCAACCAGCCGCCCGGCCGGGGCGTCCTCTCCATGCACGGGCTGGCCTACGGCGTCATCCGCGTAGACTCAGAAGAGAAGCTGTCTGTGCTCACCGTCCAGGACGTTGGCCTCGTGATGCCTGGAGGTGAGTGTGGGCCGGGGGCCTCGCAGACTCGCCCATTCCCAAGTAGCCATTGTGTTCCTCTGGCGCGAGCGCTCGCCGTCTTCTGAAGCCCTCGTTAGGCCTCAGACGCTGGCGCAGCGCTCCTGCCCCTGAGGAGGGAGACCTGTGTGTCGGGGCGGACGGGAAGGGCCTCTCTGCACCTCGGGACCCAGGGTCCGCTCCCCGGGAGGCTTCGCCGGAGACACCGGGCCTGCGCTGTGTCTGGGCAGCTTCCTGTCCGCCCCAGAAGCCACACCCCGTCCGCACCCTCATGTGTCAGCCAGGGTGGGGGTACCCAAGCTTGGGCGCTCCCCAGGCAGGCTCGTGTGAAGGTGGAAGAATGTGGGCCTGTGCGGTCAGTGAAGCTTGTGCTTGGCAGCCAGGCCCTCGCCGCACGCCACGGAAGCCATCTCCTCGGGTGTGAGAGGGACCTCCCGGTTGAAGGCCCGGCTCGCCTTACCCGGCCTGCCTCCCCCGCCCCCGGCACGACACACCTGGCGCCTCGCCGGAGCCCCGGCCCTCACTTGCAGAGTGCGCTCACCTGGCTCCTGTTTCAGAACTGCAGGCCTCAGCATTTAGGCTCCATGTTGCATGGCCCCAAAATGGAGTCAGGGCTGCTTCCTCAGTTGGGGCCCCCAGCCCAAACCTGGATCCCCTCCTGCAGGGCCCTTCCGGGCACGGGGTGTGGTCTCGCCCGTGTAGCGGGACGGGCTCACCCAGCGCGAACAGTGCCTGTTACCCTGTGTCAGCCAGCGCAGCCGACTAGGTCATGGTAGAACCTTGGCAGGGACGAGCGGCTGACACAGCACCCGGTGGTGGGCGACCCGGCCAGGCCCTGGGGTCTCATGGAGGGGGATCCCTCACGACCCCTCTGTGGGCGAGTGTGCCTGGGCTGGGCATTCCCAGAAGCCGTTTGCCCTTCTGCTTGCCCTGTGTGAGGCATACAAGAGGTAGAGCCAGCCCGTGGCTGCCAGTGCCACTCTGCTTCCTGGAAATGCTCTGCAGTGTCGCCCAGCTCTGCCTTCCAGTCCTCCAGACTCTGTGTCCAGCCCACTGCCTGCCTCAAGCTCTGGCCAGCACTTCTGGCTCTGTTTCTTTGTTAAAAAAAATATATAGATAGATAGATAGACAGACAGATAGATATAGATATATAGTTTTCAAACGAATAATAGTGCCCCACGATGGGATCCTCAAAAGATTCCGAAGGCTGCATGATGAGAAGCCTCCTTTCTGACCACAAGGCAGCCGCGGACACCTGGCTCCCTTTTGGAATCCCTCTGGAGCTATGAAAACACTGCCATACATGTGCGTGTCATCTTCCCTGAGTTGGGGGCGTTTCCTACATAAAGAGGGAGTTCTATGCACATCTTCAGGTTCTGTATCTTGAGGTCAATCTGTTAGCGCGTGAAGAGCTTTCCTGTTCCTCCGGCAGCCTAGTGCTACACTGTGCGGATACGCAGCAATGTACTGGAACCTCCCCTCCTTGGATGAGTTTCCCTGTTCTGCTGCAGTGGACGGCCCCACGCTTGAGGCTGCACAGGTGTGGGGAGCTTCCAACGGAAAGACTTCTAGAAATGGGAGTTCTGTTTCAAAGAGAACATGCCTGCATGGTTTTGATGACACCGAGTTGTCTTTCCTGAGCTTGTGAGGATGTCCACCCCTGCCGGTGGTGGGCAGCACCCCTTTCTCCACCCCCTGTCCAGTGTGTCACCCGACTTTTCGATGTCCACCCATCTGGTGGGTGGAGATGAATTCAGCGTCGTTATTTATTTATTTATTTATTTTGAGTTGGAGTCTCACTCTGTCGCCCTGTACCTGCTGGCCTCTGGCAATCCTTCTGCCTCAGCCTTCCAAGTAGCTGGAACTACAGGCGCGTACTACCACGCCCGGCTCATTTTTTGATTTGTTGTAGAGATGAGGTCTCGCCAAGTTGCCCAGGCGGATCTCGAACCCGCGGGCTCAGGCAATCCACTCACCTCAGCCTCCCAAGATGCGGGATCAGTGTAGTTTTAATATGGCTTTTTCTTACTGTGAGTGAGCTTAATTCTTCCTATGTGTCTGTAGGTTCTATTTCTCAGGCACCTTAGCTCCAGCCCAGGGGCTGCCTCGGCATCCTGGGCGCTTTTTAAGTGGCTCAGCTGTTGCTATGCACACACCACCCTCCAAAACACTGGGCTCTTGGTTCCATAGTCAGATCTGTGGCTTGCAGTGATACATAGGATGCCGTGGTTGTGCAGAGCATCGAAGTGTGTGTGGCTCAGACAAGGGAGAATTTGGCATCGTGGAATTATGTGCCGAAGCACTCGAGTCACACTCTCTGAAGGACTCGCCCTACAGGGAATTTGAAATCAAACGTTAAGATTTCCATGGGACACCGGAGGCTTGAATACCACTTCCAACTTAGAGAAGCTTTGAAAGACTAAAGCAAGTGTTTTGTGTTTCTTGATTTGCAGAGTCCAGGGTGCGCCCTGGAAGTTGCCCCCACACTGCCAATGACATGCATGTGGCAAATACCCCTGGTGTTTACTCGTGTCTACATGGCAGACAGTGTGGTTCCCCTTAAATGCAGTTGGCACGTTAACTTTAAAGGGACTAAAATTAGGTGTTGATGTTTCAACTGTGAACGTTGATATTTCGCTGCAGCCTGAGAAAACATGACTCTTTGAGGGAAGATGAGTCCTTGGCTGGCTGCTGAGACTGTGGCTGTGCTCCAGAAACTCGTTCTGCTCATTTGTGTCCTCGTTCGTGATCTGTCGTTTATTCTCCCCACTCCTCTCCCTGCGCTCGCCCTAACACTGCGTCACTTTTCTGTTTGCTCTTAGCCATCATGTGTTCGGTGAAGCCAGATGGGATTCCTCAGCTGTGCAGAACAGATGAAATCGGGGAGCTGTGTGTGTGTGCTGTCGCAACAGGCACATCATATTACGGCCTCTCCGGCATGACCAAGAACACCTTCGAGGTGGGTGGCGAGCCCTGCCGTGATGGCTGTCTGTGACAGCCGTTGCCAGGTGTCTGGTAATAGACGTGAGACGTAAGAGGGTCGCTTCCAGTCAAGTATGTTCATGGTCATTAAAATGGTTGCACTTGCTCTGCCCATTCTTCCTTTTTTTTTGCTTTTGATGAATGTGTGTCAGCTTTGTTCTGCCCTTATAATCAGTGTCAAAGAGAATAAGCACAGCTTCTTAACAATGGACCTCTTTTATTTGTTCCTGATCTCCCTGTTACCCGTGTGGTAAAAGTGCCACCTGAGAGGTGCATGCGGGAGCATGCGCACGTGTGTGTGAGGGAATGGCCTTGCCTGGGATGGCTGGCTGGCCACCCCACAGCCCTTAAGCCTAAGCTAGATGTGTACGTGAAGTAATGATTCAGTGGCCCAAGCAAGTATGTGTGTGGCATATGCCGTGCACACATGCTTGTGTGGTATTGTATGTGTGGTGTGTGCACAGACATTTTGTGTAGTGAGCAGAGACATCAGAGGGTTAGGTTCATGGGCTTGGGGGTTCGGCGCTGCATCTCGGTGTTCTCAGAAATTTTATTTTTTTAACAAGTGGTTCCTGACCTTGGGAGTCCTGGCACAGTATTTGATTAAGTTACATGTAAGAAATTGTAAATGGTTTGGGAAAACATTTCCTAAACTTCAGAACTTTGGGTATGACTGGACAGTTGTGTTACAGTGCCGGTTCAGGGTGGTTTTGTTGAATGTAAACTCAGCTTTCTAAAATACCCCTTGAGTCTAGATAAAAACCCATCTCCTTTCCCGTGTGATTTTGCAAGACTAGAGTAAAAGGGGTTTATGGTTTGAACTCACGTGATGTGCTTCCTTTATATTTTTCTTTTCAGCGTAGTTCCAACAAGAAAAAATAACATTTTAATGAATAGGGATCGGTTATCTTATAACTGACGTGTTGTTTAATAGTATCTTGAGTCTTCATTTATCACTTTTACCTGGGGTTTTGTAAACAGAAGTGGTGGCCGCTTCTTTGTGTCCTACAGTGATTCCTGGTGTTGCCTGCCCCGAGGCTCAGAGGCCTGTGAGAGGGGCTGGTGGGAGGCTCCTGCAGGTCACCTGGAGTCTCCCAGGGGCTGGATGGGGGGGATGGGAGGGCGCTTCCCCCACCTTCGAAGGCCGTCTGCTGCCAGCAGCTGCTGTGACCTCTGCTCTCAGGCAGGGTTGCTGGGGGTGAGAGGCAGAGCTCGAGGAAAGCAGGGCTGGGCGCTCCAAGGACAAGCACGCTTAGCAGTCTGGCACAGAAGTGACGCCTCTGACACCACTTGTTCTCACACATAAATGGTGCTGGCATGAGCCACAGCCACACACAGAGGGATGGGCAGGAGCGAGACACCGCCCAGGCGGAAGCACGTGGCAACATAGAGGGTGCCCGGTCCTACGCCTGGGGAAGTGAGGACTGGCTGGAGGCCCCAGCCTCACCTGCATGTCGATCACTCGTGTCCCCAGTCCTGACTCGGGCTCTGCCTCTCTGTCACAAAATTAAGTAGAAAACAAAAACAAAACGCAGACAGCTGACCGCGTGAGAGGCGCCTAATGGAAGCCGTGTCTCCACAGGTGTTTCCCATGACAAGCTCGGGGGCGCCCATCAGCGAGTACCCCTTCACAAGGACGGGCCTGCTGGGATTCGTCGGTCCCGGGGGGCTGGTCTTTGTGGTGGGCAAGATGGACGGCCTCATGGTGGTCAGCGGGCGCAGGCACAATGCCGATGACATCGTGGCCACGGCGCTGGCCGTGGAGCCCATGAAGTTTGTCTACCGAGGAAGGTTGGTGGCCTGCGTCTGCAGACTCGTGTGTCTTTCTGTAAACCACCGCTTTTATAAGGGGACTGAAAGTCGCCTGAATTTCCTCCACTTATTGTGACTCAGTATCGTCTCTTGTATGATTGAAGCAACTGGGCTCCGTGACCTCAGAGATTTGATCTCGATCTGAATGTCTAAGATTTCATAGAAATCTCCTGAGCCCTGTAAATATATTTTCATTAACTTCTCCCCTAATTTAAATAAAAATATCCACTTGAAGACTTCTTTTTTTTTGAGTTGGGATCTCACTCTGTTGCCCGTGCTGGAGTGGAGTGGCATGGTCACAGCTAACAGCAGACTTGACCTCCTGGGCTCAGGCGATCCTTCCACCTCAAGCCTCCTGAGTAGCTGGGACTGCAGGTGTGTGCCACCATGCCTGGCTAATTTTTTTTTTTTTTTGGTAGAGACGAGGTCTCGCTGTATTGCCTAGGCTGGTCTCAAACTCCTAGACTCAAGCAATCCTCCCTCCTTGGCCTCTCCAAGTGCTGAAATTACAAGAGTGAGCCGCAATGCCTAACCTGAAAACTCATTTTAAATAAATAACTGCACAAATTAAAGATCCAAATATCCATCTTGATGCAGATCAGAAAGACCCAAGATTACAGTTGGGTCACATGTTGGCATGGAAACGGGCGTAGATGCTCATTTACTTCTTGACTGTCTGATGGTTTTCTTCTTCCTTACCCTGCCTGGTACACAGAGGCTCCATAGCTAGTTAAATTAGTTCCTACAGCTCCTGAATATTTTTTGTTTTTGTTTTTTTGCTAATTTGAAGGAAGAGTAACAAACTGCATTAGGATCTTATTTCAGTATGGCTAGCTAATGGGAACAGGAGAAAGTAGATACTTGGGTGTACCGTCTCCACCTTTGAATCATCTGAAAACTACAGCCTGTTTATGCAAAGGAGCATACTAGAGGCTTTGAGTTGACAGAAATCTGTGCTGACTGTACAAGGCAGACATATTTAGCAGAAAACCATTAGTTTTCAAACAGGAAATTTCTACTTAGTTGGAGAATATTGCTTCCCGGGTGCAAACTCGAGATGTGAGTGTGAGGCTTTCTAAATGGCCGCAGGTCTGTCTGTCGTGCACTCACTCCTGTCCACACCGAAATGTGTAAGCTGTCACCAGGCGCTCCGAGTAAGCTGTCACCAGGCGCTCCGAGCGCCTCTGCCGGGATTGCGGCGACTCCGCCTTCGCAGCGTCCTTCGCCCTTGCCCCCAGCTGGTCTCCGATAACAAGAGCCTGGGGGTTGGAATTGCAGCTTGCCTTCTGGAAGCGGCAGTTGGAGCTGTGATCTGCTGGCCTGTGCGACTGATGGCGGCTGTGAAGCTCCTGGTGGTGGCGGGAAGTCCGTGAGAGCACCCGGCACCTGCTCACCGCCTTCCTCTCCGCCCCCACAGGATCGCTGTGTTCTCGGTGACCGTCCTGCACGACGAGAGGATTGTGATCGTGGCCGAACAGCGGCCGGACTCCACGGAGGAGGACAGCTTCCAGTGGATGAGCAGGGTGCTTCAGGTCGCCTTCCTTGCCCTCACAGCACTTCTCGGCCTCGTTTGCTCCTCCCTTGCGGGGCCGTGGCCTCCCCCGTCCCCCGACCGTGCCCACCCGGTGTTCCTTTTTCTTTCCCCTGCATGAGATCACAAGTCACACCGAGTGTCCAGGAAGCCAGTTAAACAGATTAAGGGTGGGTCAGGAGTTTGCCAAGCTAGTCCTACCGTTCACCGTGGGGGGTCAAAAGTAAGTTTTTTGTTACGATCTTGAGAACGTGTTTTCTTTTCTCCAAATTTCCCTTTTACTGTTTGTGGTCCAAGTCCTGTGTAAAATGATTCGGCTTGGTGAGCTTAGTAAGAGGCCCCTTTCTCCTAAACCTTGGCGTTCTTGCACTGAGAACACTGTTCGTAGCACACACACCACTGCGTGTGATAAACAGTACTTTGCACAATACAAATATCTGCCCAGTGTTTCTGTTTATGCTTCCCGTTATACCATGATTTCCTCTTTCTTGATTTTCTAGGCAATTGACAGCATCCATCAAGTCGGAGTTTACTGCCTGGCCTTGGTGCCCGCAAACACCCTCCCCAAAACCCCGCTCGGCGGGATCCATTTGTCGGAAACGAAGCAGCTCTTCCTAGAAGGCTCCCTTCACCCCTGCAATGTCCTGATGTGCCCCCACACCTGTGTCACGAACTTGCCTAAGCCTCGGCAGAAGCAGCCAGGTACGTCCGCCTCCTGGGCGGTCTGCAGGCTCTCAGCTCCGCTTCTGGGCTGGGCCCTGGTGGCGCCACGCTCAGGAGAGGCAGCGTGTGGCTGTCTGTGGCCCTGCCACACCTTCGTGCTCCTCACAGCCACAAGCTCCCGGGCGTAACTGCCCCTGGGAGAAGAGAGGCGCTTCTGCCCCGGAGTCCACTGGGGCCGGGCCTGCCCTCTCCACGGGACACCAAGCCCTGGGCCTGCGTGAGATGCTTGCAGGAAGCCTGAAACCCCGTAGGGTCACAGTCCCGTCATGTGCAGAATGAGAATAACAGATCCTTATGTGTTTCCTGTGGCAAACCCGGGAATCAGAGCAGGTAGCCGGTGGAAAGCACTGGGAAGGGCATGGAGAGCTCTGTAAACTCACTCGCAGCGTTAGCGAGTTGCGGACATTTGTCCAGGGCTTTGCAGATTGGGAATGTTATTCGTTCCCTGGTGTGACCCTCGTAGCTGCTGAATCACTCATGCTCTCTAGGGCTGCACACCCTTACCAGCCAAATACCCCGGGTCGAGAGGTAGAAACCCTTCTGCAGTGCATTGATGGAGGGTCCCAGGGCGGAGATTCAGACAGGCCTCAGAGAGACCAGACCCAAAGCTCAGCTGGCGCCATGGGATGCCATCTTGTAGTGCCCGGCACGGACTAGCCACCATCCTTGTGGGCATTAACTCATCTTACTCTCACGGACCCTGTGGAGTGGATGCACCTGTCTCCACTGTACACACGAGGAAGATAAGCCACAGAAACTCCTCCAGGGCCGCACTGCTAGAGTGGGGCAGAAACAGGCTCCAGGTGCAGGCAGCGGTGCCTGCACCCCAAACGCTGTTAGGCTGCCCGTCCTCAGCTTCCAGCGTGGCTCGGGTCTGGCTGCTACCGTCTTAAGAAGGACAGTGCTTCACGGCAGGTCAGCCTGGAGACCTCTGTGCTCGCGTCGGGCTCACACATGTGATCATGACGTGGGAAGACCCCGTCTGGGAGGCTCCAGTGAGAGTTCGCAGGCATGTGGACGCTGCCGGCTCCTCTCCAGCAAGAGGGCCTGGGGCTGAGACGGGAAGGGTGATCCTGGCTGGTCTACCACTCCGGCAGCTCATGCGTGCAGGGAAGAAGTGGTCGCCCCAGTCACAGAAGGGGGCGAGAACTCGGGTTTGGGTCTCTGGCCCTAAACACCTTGCTTCTGCTGTCGCCACTGCTCAGGGATGATGTGTGTGGTCGTCAGAGTGTTACTTGCAAGGCTGAGCACGTTGCTGCCTCCCGGAATAAGCTACTTCTCCTAAAGGACCTAGAAAGCCACTATGTTTGTACTTTCTAGGTGTACTAGACTTTCACTGATCACTGCCCTTTCGTTTCTAGCCTACTTCTGCCTTTAAATTTCTCTTTTGTATTGTAGATTCCACTAACGAATATTCCTATGCCATTTCCCTTTTCCTTGCACCATCATTTTATTCTGTCAGTCTCTGGTTTATGTGAGTGGCGTGGTGAAATTTGAAGTTCTGAGTGATGGAAGTATCCATTCCTTTTTTCTCTTGCTTCCTTTTTCTTTTGAGAGGGGGTGTCACTCTGTCGCCCAGGCTGAAGTGGCACAATCACAGCTCACCACAGCCTCGACCCCCTGGGCTCAGGTGATCCTCTTACCTCAGCCTCCTGAGTAGCGGGATTACAGGTGTGTGCCACAACACCCGGCTAATTTTTTTATTCTTTGTAGAGATGAGTTCTCTGTTGCCCAGGCTCGTCTCGAATTCCTGGACTAAAAGCAATCCTCTCGTCTCAGCCTCCTGGGGTGCTGGGATTACAGGCATGAGCCATCTGCCTGGCTAATTTTTAACTTTTTGGTAGAGTTGAGATCTTGCTATATTGCCTAGGCTGGTCTCAAATTTCTGGGCTCACACGATACTCCCATCTTGGCCTCCCAAAGAGCTGAGATTACAGGTGTGAGCCGCCATGCCCAGCCAGTATCCATTTCTTTAGACTCCATGGGTGGGCTGCCTTCTGTGAGTGACCCCCTAACAAGCACAAAGCACTGCCCTTCAGTAGCCTTCAGAAAAGGGTGGGGAATAGCCTCTTTTGTTGCCTAATATCTCAGGACATAATTAGTGTTACAAAGGAGAGGACAAAGCTGCTCTACCCAGACATACTTGGTTCTGTAGTGTTAGGACTTACATCCTTAGTGTAAAATCAAGTGACAGGATCCGCCCAGTCCTCTCCTCGAGTCGATTCATTTCCAGGAACTCTCAGCCTAGTGACCTCAGTCGCCGGTGGTCCCAGGCGGGAATCCTGGTGGTTCAGTAGTTTGAGAAGGCAGAGTTCCAGACAGATATTTATGGTAGGGAGAATCTTTTGTAAGTATGTAATGATTCCATAACTATAGGGCCAGTTCACCGGCCAAACGCCAAGAAACCCATTAACTAGGAAAACTGAGCCAAGATAAGCTAAGACCCTCACATTAAAGTCAAGGCACCTAAAGAAAGCCTGCTTCATTTGGGCTTGAGGTGGGCGGGACAGCCCAAGAGAACTGAAACATTTTTACTCCAATATTGCAGCTAAGTAAACGAAGCTTCATGTGATTGATAACTTTAAGAGAGAAGATCATTAAGATATATATGTGTGTGTGTGTGTGTTCCATCTGTTTTTGTTAAGTTGAAAGGTTATATAATTCTGTGTCTTCAAAAAACTTTTTTTTTGAGTTGGAGTCTTATTCCATTACCCAGGCTGGAGTGCTGTGGCACGCTCATGGCCACCCCAGCATCGACCTGCTGGGCCCTGGCGATCCTTCCACCTCAGCCTTCCAAGTAGCCGAAACTACAGGCATGTGCTACCACGCCTGGCTAATTTCTGATTTTTTTGTAGAGACGAGGTCTCGCCAAGTTGTCTGGGCTGGTCTCGAACCCACGGTTTCCGGCATTCCACTTGCCCTGGCCTCCCAAAGGGCTAGGATGAAGGCTGAGCCACCGAGCCTAGCCTCAAAAAACATTTTAAATAAATATTACCCCTGAGTTTTCCATAGACTTCCTCAACTCTGTTGATGGCCTGAAATGTACTTTACAGCAATAGTCCTCAACCTTTTTGGCATCGGGGATTAGTTTCATGGAAGACAAACTTCTTGCCGACGCGTGGGAAGGCAGGGTGTGCAGTCAGAAGTCAAACCTCACTGCTGCTGTTCATCTGCATTTGCAGCCACTCCCCTGCACTGGCCTCAGTCACCACCGCAGCTCGGCCTCATCAGACTTTCTCAAGGAGATCCCCCACGGGTGCAGGTCACAGGAGGGTTCGTGCTCCTAGGAGAGTCTAATGCCCCCACTGATCTGGCAGGAAGCGGAGCTCAGGGGGGCACGCGAGTGATGGGAGCGGCTGTGACTGCAGAGGAAGCTTCGTTTGCTTCCCCACCTGCCGCTCACCTCCTGCTGTGCAGCCTGCTCCCAGTCTGTGGCCCCGGGGGGCTGGAAACCCTGCCTTAGCAGACATTGCCCGGAGGCCTCCGCTTCTACACGTGCAAGGAGGGAGTTGGAGCCGGTGGTTTCTAAGGCCCCTTTAGAACAAAGATTTTAAGTGACTCTGAACAAGTACCTGGTATCAGCAGCCAAAGCAAGCATTTGTTGAAACCATTTGAGTGTGAGGATGTTCTTAGATGCTAGAAGCAGAGCCCCTAAACTTTAGGTTGGCTGTAAACAGAGTTGCCTTTTTCATTGGATGAATTTCTGTTTACTCAGTTAGCAAATGTGCACTGTGGGATTATCATAATTGATCATGAAAGTGCTAAGAGACCTTTAACTCAACAGTTGAGCGAGCAGCGTTACAGAAATATTTTTTAAAAATGGGCACAACTCCATAGCTTCAAGATTCCCTGGGAATATTTATCAGGATGGCTAGAGGAGGCAGGGAGAGGGGTAACCCCCAGCGAGCCCCAGCTCCTGGGTGGAAGGACTTGCCCTTCCTTCTTGCCACCCTCTTTGAGGTGAAACTTCTCTCTCCTGCATGAATCGTCAAGCAAGGTGGGACTTTGCTAGTACTAGAGATAAGATTGCTGACTTGCAGATACGTAAGTCTACAAGTGGGAGCAGGAAGAGAATGAACCTGAGCTTCAGATGCACGTCTTAGGGGGCGTCTCCACGCCGTTACCGAGTGGTGAGGCCATGACTTGCCATGGGAGCTCTGTGCCCCCGCCTCACTTCAGCAGGGAGAGGCTGTCAGCTATTTGGTAAGAGCAGACTGCGTGAGTAAGGTGCCACTAGAAGGCCTCCTGTCTCCTGGCAATAGTTGAGGACAATGAGTCTGTAAGTCTGTGGGGAAAGCTCTTCAAGGTTTCAAACTCGCATTTCAGTATGCAGGCAGAATAATCCCTGGCAAGGGAAGACGTGGCTCAGTGACCAAGGAGCACCAGACGAGGCCCTTTTATACTTTATGAAGAACTAAGAAAATAAATTTAGTCTACTCACAACTACCACGTGAAAATTCTCAAACGATTTAGCTGAGTACTTAAGGCATATTCTTACAATTACGCAGAATCCAGCATCGAGGCTCCTACAAATTGCCCAAAGCAAGACACACCAGCAGGCAGGAGCCCAGAAATCTGTTCATAGGCTGTTCCCCTCTAAATTTCAATTCTGTTTGAAGCATCCTGCCTTCTCCTGCAGAGCTGTGATAAGAAGACTACTCTATGGCAGACCAAATTTGATATGGACAGCAGCATAGCTTTGGAGAGGAATGGGTGTTCGTGTTCTCACTTGGGTGGTCAACTAGAGGACGTCAGATCCCAAGTGACCATTAGCATGGTTGTCCTGGCAGCTGGCCCATCAAACGCCTGTTCTATGCCACGTCACTTCTCAACCTGCGTCTTAGAAACCTTTGTCTTTTTTTGACGTGTCACAGGACCGGTTTGCTTGACTACAGGTACACAGCTCTTTGTGCGATGCAGCTATGCCCTGATTGACAAACATGTCACTTGACCGTCATCAAAAGTTTAATGAGACTTTGACTTAACAGTGGCCTTCAGCTCTTGCTTTATCAAACCAAAGATTAAATGCAAATTGATAGGATCGGTTTTTTTTGCGCTGGAACTCTTTTGGTGTTTTCTCCCTCTCCTCCTCCCCTCCATCTCTTCCTTCCCCTCCTGCCTCCTCCTCCTCCTCCTCCTTCCCCCCCTCCCACACACACCCATGCTCCCTCACATGTGCATGTGACAGGACACTGTCGTAGAACTCCTAACCTTTTCTATTAAATGTGTATATCTTGGTTTATATGTGTTTAATGAAAACGTGAATGACGGTGTTTTGAGAAACTTTCAAGGATATCTAGGGTTTCCAGCAGTCAGAAATTTTGAGAGATTTTGCAGTTCTTTACAAAACCACTTTCGTTCCTGTAAAGAAAAGCTGTTGGAAAAGTGTATCTGCTTTTCTCTTTCAAAACATCGTCAACTGAGGAGAGAGCACCGGCAGTCGAGTCAGATCCAGTGAAGTAAAACGTAGCCTTTTCGTGTCCCGTCTCGTCTCAGTGCTGCTCTCTAAATCTATCCCAAGGGATCTTTATTAAAAATGTGCAGCGTCTTTTTGTTGATAGTCAACTCTCATGTAATAACACCAGAGAATAAGAACGGACACAATCTTGTGTTTAAATTTCGTAATTGCCTCCTGGATTATTTTAGGGGAGCTTTGTGGATGATGAAAGCATCGCTTCTGTAGAGCCCCTAATTTAAAGCTTGCTTATGTCTGCCATCATAATCTCTTTAGTGATTTCTTTGAAATCCTGTTCTAATAAGGTTTATTCAAAGCAAGGTCTTTCAGAGGGTTTTTCCCAGAGTAAAGTCTCTACCAAGGTGGGAAGTTATGTTTTGAGGAATTTCACTTTTGTTTCTATATATATATATATGTGTGTGTGTGTGTATATATATATATGTATATGCCTCTGTTTCTTTCCAGAAATCGGCCCCGCCTCTGTGATGGTGGGGAACCTGGTCTCTGGGAAGAGAATTGCCCAAGCTAGTGGAAGAGACCTGGGTCAGATCGAAGACAATGACCAGGCCCGGAAGGTAGGAACCCAGGTCAGCCCTCTTGTTGTGTCTTCTCTGTTCAGAGAGTTGAGTTGAAGCTGAATCACAGAGAACTGTACCCTGTCTTTCCCACTTTGCCAGTTTGATGTCTACCACTGACTCTGTGCATCTTTGGTGATCTTACCATCCACCGCTTCTCTCCTTCAAGAGATGTCATATAATTTTATAAGGAAAATATGTCTGTTAGAGGGTACACTGCTCTAGAAGATTTCACAGTGGCGCGGAAATGTATACGTGATGTCATGTCCCACGACTCACAGGAGTGAAGCAAATGTTTGGGGATCTCGGTCCCCTCTTGTGTTCCCAAAACTGCTTGTTTCCAATCTCGACCAGTTTGGCTTCAAAGCCCACGCTGCCTCCCAGCAGCCTTCCCGTGTGGCTTCCATCTTTTGGTCTTGGAAAATCAGGCTTAGGAGCTAGACCTCCCCACGGCAGCATTAGGAGGGGTGGGAGAAATTCTTGAACCCCTTCCACCACAGACATCTCACAGTGTGTCATGTGTGTCTACGAGTACCCATTAGAGCCAGTCAACCTTGAGAACTTGTAAGGTTCACTGAGAGGCCCCACTTCCCAAAGCCAAAAGGTCACCCTTCTGTGTGGGCCACCAGAAACGTGACAAAACCGACCATGCGAAATATTGCCAATGTGGTAATAACCTGTAGTAATATGTTAATGGAAGGCACCCGATCACCATGTCCCCCCTCCCCATCGTGCATTTCATTCTAGTAATGAAATGGATGGAGGGCTCCCCGTGGACGCTTCCTGTATCCTGATGTGAAATAGGCTGTCCTTTTAGCTGTGAGCTGAATCAAGGCGACACGTGTGGTTTGTGTAATGTGCAATGCAGCTTAATGACGTGAGGATATTGCCGTGCTGAAAACCTGAATTTGAGCCCATCTTGTCAAACTGAATAGATCTGATTCTCTCACTGTAACCCAGAGATCACACGTGCATCTTCTGGAAACCCCAGGACCAGAGATGTTTGGTATCAGTTGCTCCTGCCTATAAGGGAAAAATGGTTCTCCCCTCCCCGGGCAGACTTTCAGAAAACGTCCCACCAGGGGTGCAGCACCGCCCTTTGATTTGTGGATCTAAATCAGGTACAGGGATTTAGTCACGCAGGATAAAAGCTACAAGCACCTGCTTACTGTATGTCGGTCAGGGATTTTTCTAAAAGTGAACGTTCTCATTTCCATGTGGAGAGGCACACTGTTTTAAAACATCCGGAAGCACTCAGACAGACTGTATCAATTTAAACGTTGAGGTGGCCCCAGCCCGGATGACAGTGGCCTGAACCTGGCCCCTGCTCTCTTCCAGTTCCTGTTCCTCTCGGAGGTCTTGCAGTGGAGAGCCCAGACCACGCCGGACCACGTCCTCTACACGCTGCTCAACTGTCGGGTGAGGCACGGTGCTCGCGTTTCCCGGATGCTCTTGCGCGGGTCTGAGCAGGCTCCTGGGAAGCCCTTGCGCTTCCTCGTGACGCTTCTGCCTCGAGCCTTTCACCTCACTCTCCCTTCATTCCGCGTGTGCTCTTTTGACTAAGGGGAGTTTTTAACTTAAGGGTGGCTTTTAAACGTAGCAGTCTGTGATTCTGTGCGTCTATTTATGTACGTGCATATTTTAGCAACACTGCAATATTTCCCGAAAAAGTTAGTGATTCATGAGATATTTGTGTTTTTATTTTGATTGCTAAGCTCGTTTTTTTATAAGTTAGAAATGAGGTATTTATTAAATAGGAATGAAAATCATTTCTACTTTGTAAGTATACTTAAAGTTCCTGTCTACACTTCACATTCGAAAACCAAACTCATCGAGTATTGTTCCATGATAGTACTTCAGAGTAAGGCCTTAAATTAACAATAAAAATTAAATACAAACATCTTAATATGACTGCAACTTTTCTTTTTGCCTTGGAAATGAAGCTCAAAGATGAGATTAAAATTGTAGGTCTTCTTGACAGGTGTGGACACTTGCAGCTCTTTAAAAACTCAGGGCTGTTTAGAATTGCTAAGTGTCAAAACCCGAGTCTGCGAAGATACTCCCTGCCATTTGAGGCGGTTGGTTAAAGAGAAAAGGAAATGCCGGCAGCATCACGGGCTTGTCCCTGGCTCTCCTGTTTGTGCTCTCGGTCATCAGACCACTCTTGGCACGTGATTCAGCTCCCGGGGGTGGCCTCTCAACCCTCCGCTGCCATGGAGGGTCTTGTTGCCTTGACGTCGTGTGTGCCGAGTGGATCCCGTGGCCGGTTGCTCACGGCGTCTGCTTGAGACTGTTTCCCAGGAAGAGCCTCTAAAAAGAGGAAAGCCGTATTCGCTGGGCCCCTGCCTTCCCACGCCGTCTGGTGAGCTTCAGCCCTGCGCGGACAACTCCAGCAGGAGCGTCCAGAGCTTTCGAAGATCTGGTTGCCGCAAGGCCTCGTGTCTGAAAGGCCTTCCTTCCGGTTCCGTCTCTTTCTCCACCGGGTCCTTCCTCAGACGGTGACGCAGATAAGACCTCCCTTTCTGAACACGTGTCCAACCCTCCTTCCTCAGTTTCTGTGGCGCACTCCTGGCTTTCCTCTGATCCCTTCGTGTCTTTCTCGTCCGCTCCATGGGGCGTCTCTCCTAGGAACTGCTTGTGACACTTTTTTTCTTTCTCTGTGTCTCTGTGGTCTCCCTTCTCTAGAGGCTTCTGGCGTCACCTCCAAAGTGACGACCTGAATCTGTGGGACTGACTCAAGCCTGCCTCCCACGCCCCAGATCCCTCAGCAAGAAGTACTTCCTCCCTTCCCTGATTTCCTCAGCATTGCAGAGGTGCTGACCCCCTCGTGAGCTGTCAGGCTGAGTCAGCTCTGAATCACTTAAGCCCGCCCCCGTCGTCGCCTGACACTCTGTCCCATGCTGTGGGTTGCATGTCTGTATCCAGTAACCTGGAGGTATTAATTAGTAGCTTAAAAAGTAGTAGACCCCCACATACACAAGGACTCAGAAATGTTTGAAGTATATACATTCATGGGCAGTGTGTGCCATCCACAGGAGGGACATAGAGGCATTCCAGCTGTGTCTGATCTGAGGGAAGATCCTTCAGATTGTTCGCTGGGTGTTGCCGCAGCTCTGCGTTCAGTCAGTCTGCCCTGTGGACACCCCCAGCCCTTGAGCCTCTGTGGTCACCTGCTGTAGCCAGACAGCGGATCTTCTGGGGAAATGTGTTGACTGAAGATGGTTCATGAGAAACAACAGCAAATAAGATGGGACAAGAGGTAGGGATCAAAGCCTTTAGTAGATTCAATTTAGGTGACTGTGCAGAGAGTGTGGTCTGAACATGCTTGTTCTCCTAGAGGTGGCCTGCTGTTTGCTGAGGCTTTCTGGGTGTGGAGGTAGCTACATCTGCGCTCTCCAGAGGGTCACAGCATGACTTTCATTATTTTCCTAAAAGGGTCAGATCAAGCATCTTTGTTCACCTGTCTGCTCTGCTACCACATATGCACACTCACAGAAACGCTCTGCCCGGGCCAGGTGGACAGCATCACCCCCTGGTGGTTATATGTCCCTGTCAGCCAGCTTTCTTGGTCAGCCTGCCCATCAGAAAATCAGTGCGCACCATGCACATGATTATGTGCTTTCTAAAATAATACTTGAGAAGGCAAAAATAAGCAGGCGAAGTTCACCCCAATAATGAATCACTCAGCACATCCCAAGTGTCCTCCTTCGGCGTGTGCTCTGGCCGCCGGTCCTGGCCTCGGTGGCCACATGGTGCATGCATCCATCAAGGACAGCGTGCTTCCTCTGGTTATGGATTGGGCCCCCTCTGTCTCCTGTGTCATGGAGCCAACTCTTTCGACATTTTTTTCACTTGTGGTAGCTTCACCAGGATTTTAAAATATAATCTAATTTGGCTTTTTCTTCTTCCTCAATATTTTTCCAGTGGTGATTTGATTTAACGTAAAACTTTAAAATGGTTCCAAAGGTGCAGTCCTTGACACTGAACTGTGTTTTCTGTAGATGAGGTGTGGCTGGTGGGTTTCTCTGCATCACCATTCTGTCCTGAACCCTCCCCAGACTCCTGTTAGGAAAATCAGCCCTAATTTCCCTGGTGAAACCTTCTTCGCAGTTAGCGGGTTTCAGCAGGGAAACCCGTTTTCGCCATAAATGTCGGTAAGGACACCAGAGAATGATGACCATTACTGAGAAGACACGGCTGTTGATCTTGGTCCCCTCACCCAGGACGTTTCATGTCTGTCTCGATACCTTGCATGTGGGACGATTAAACGTGTAACTGGAAACTGGGCGTTCTCTCGAGGTCGAAGGTTGCCGTAAGACTCCCAAGGGTGGCCTGGAACCCACCGTGTCTGGGGACCTGTCTCCTGGTGTGGGGCTGCTGTGTGGTGAGGTCACATCCCGTTCGGCCTTGCGGGCTGTGGGAAGAAGCAGAGAAGGAAAAACAGAGCCCCTGCGCGAGCGTGGGCGCTCAGGCCTGCCAGCCCACTCTGGGAGTCACTTCTCTGAGGGCCGACGCGAGCAAAGCAGGCACAACTCGCGGCCCCCACTTGTCGCTGCCAGATCACCGAGCGCGCTGAGTGGGGTCCGGCATTCGGCTGACTCGTCCTTGGCAGGCAGAAAGTCGCCCATCCGGTGGCCACCAGGGGCACAGCCCACCCCAGCTGGGAAGGAGAAACTGCGTATGCCAGCCGTACCGAGAAGCGACCTGCCTCTTTCTAGCACAGCGCCTTCTCCAGGGACTCTGCGGGATGGCTTTCATTGATGGATTAATTCATATCTTCATCGAGTCAAGGTCTCACTCTGCTACCCAGGAGTGCAGTGGTGCAACTGATGACAGCGCTCCGCAACCATGAGTGCCAGGGCGCAAGCAGCCCTCCTGTCTCAGCCTCCCGAGTCTCCGGGACAACAGGCGCTACCACCAGGCCCAGCTCTGATTAATTTCGAGCCACCCTGCTTGCCGACCTCAGAACCTAAAGCCCGAGAAGGACGTGTTCCCCTGGGCCGTCATCATGGAGCATGACTAGGGGCTTTGCTACTTGTCTTTGTGTTAGCCCCCCAAAGTGGCAACGGGTCTTGAGAAAACTGTGTCTTAGAAGGTTGCCAAAGATAAAGAACAGTGCAAATCAAATTTCATGCTTAGTAGTTACGGGCCGGCGGGGATTTTTGTGAACCAGGATCCAAGCATATTTTCAAACACACCCTTGGCTGCTGGTTGTGCACCATCCAAGCCTGCCAAGCCTGCCAAGCCTCAGGACCCCAGAAAGCGGGCAAGTCATGGGCTTGGTCATCTGACAGAAACACCGGTAACTGATAGGGGATCATCTCCCGCTCTCCAGAAGGTGGGGCGATCCAGTGCCAGAAGCTGAACGGACCAGGCTGAGAACACGCTGTTCAGGCAGGCCTGACGTGACGGTGGGCCGCAGGATGTCGGGGGAATGCCGCACAGCAGGAAGGCCCCTCGGTGGGAGCAGAAAGTGAACGGTTCTGCCGGGGCTCTCCTGGAGCCGTGTGCTGTCCCGCGGCGTTGGGCGGTATGCTGGTTTCCAGCATGGAGGGTGGACGTGGGGACGGAGCATGGAGGCAGTCCCCTGTCTCACCCTCGGCTGCGCGGAGTGTCTTTGTCCCCTGTTCACTTTGAAGAGACCAGAGGCGACGTGTGTGTTTTGGCATGTGTAAATGCTCTGAGGAAATCTCATCTCAAAGGCCCCAGAATCTCACTTCTTGGCTAGATTTCCTAGACTTCAGTCTCATGTATCTTTTTGTCTTTACTCTGTCTCTGCCACACTCTGCTCTCTGGCGCTTCTACTTGGTATGTCTAGTTCTGTCTTCTTCTTTCGTAGCCTTCCTCGCAGGGAAAAGGTGTGTGATGAGGGGGATGAGTTCAGAGGAGTGTAAGCCGACCCTCCCCTCCATGGAGGAGACCAGCTGCGGTGGAGGAAGGTTCTGCAGGCCAACTTGGCAGCTAGCCCTCTGGGCGTCTCACGCCCACCCCCAGCCTGCAGATCGTCTGTGTTCAGTCCCTGGTGGCCTCTCGGGTAGCCCAGCGCCTTTCCTGCCCCCCCCGCCCCCCGCCCGCTCAAGCGCTCTTCTTCATGGTGCCCAGCTTCCATGAAAAGTGCTTGGCCCAGACTGTTCACGATGCCTTTTCAGCTCTGGGGGCTTCCTGACCCATCATCTGGGGCCACAGTTGCCACCTGCTTGAGGGAAGTTCCTTCACCCTGTTCACCGCTTTAAAGTAGACTCTTGTTTTGAAGAGGAGCTGTCGACAGTGATCTCTTTCCATCTGAAAGGGATGCACGTGAATCATACTTGTAAAATATATCCTCAGGAGGAAATGCTTTGGTTAGTTGTAATTTATTGTTCTTTCATATTTTTCTTTACAGTTTAAACAGTGACTCTCACACTGTTTTTATATTTCTTAGTACACGTCTTGCAAGTGATCTTCCCTAGCAACCCTTTTTAAGGAGCTGTTTAGTCCAAATGTGTTTTCTGTTTGTTTCCACATAATTAAAAGTCTACATGAAAATGCATTTGAAATTCTTTTTTCTTTAGGTTTTTCTTTCTTGCTACTTTTTAAAAATTTTATTTTGTTCTTTGCTTTTGATGTTGTCTTTCTAGAAAAACACTTGTAGTTACTCTTATTTATCAATGTGTGAGTCTTGAAGGCTTACTGGTAACTCTCACTGGTTCTATTTTCTTACATTGTGGCCTCCCTGTAAGGGAAAATGTGTGTGATGAGGAGGTTGAATTGGCAATAACACCAGTCCCAACATTACTGAGTTTTTGTGGTTGTTTAAGTTCAGCTATTTTTTAGTTCAGGTAATTATTTCTTTTAGATATTTCTTGTTGACTCAAATATGTCTAGATGCCCCTCTGGTCTGTACTATTTACCTAGTTGGAAGGAGATGGGGTTGACATCCAGTGGATACAGGGTTTGGGGAGAATGGTGAAAACATTCTAAAACTGACTGCTGTGTAGGTTGTATAACTCTGACTGTTCTAAATGACACATTTTAAATAAATGAGTTGTATGACTTAAGAGCTTTTTCTGTAAACTGCTGTGCTGAAAGAATTTTACTTGCCCACCATTCCTGTGACCCTCAGGGTACGATCGCAAACTCGCTGACATGCGTGCAGCTTCACAAGCGTGCCGAGAAGATAGCCGTGATGCTGATGGAGAGAGGCCACCTGCAGGACGGGGACCACGTGGCTTTGGTCTACCCACCAGGTACAGAAGCAGAGTTGGCTTTGACCGCAGATGGCGAGGCCAGCACCTGCATGAGCTGAGCGGGGCTGTTGGGTTTGAACAGAGCTGTGGCTCTGGACGCTTGCCGCATTTCCGACTGGATTCTAACGGGGCTCCTTTGCGTCTGGTTCATTCACAGGAATGAGTTACGCATTGGGCTCCTTTTAGAGGCTTGCATAAAGTGGCATTTTCAAAGACATTTGCATCTAAATTGTTCTGTTTGAAATCTGAAGGCGCTTACATCATCAGTAGTAGTTACATCTTCACTAAATTTGTCATTTAAAAGTTGAGTAATTCCTTAGAGAAACGACACAGAAACTTCTGGGCTGCTTTGGCATCTCATGCCTAAAAGAACAGGCCCGGTGAAAGTGGCCACCAGAGCTTTCCAAAGCCCACAGGGAGGAAGGAGTCTGCCACAGAAAGAGTCAGTTACTCCCTCACACACCTTTCCCTGACAGGCATCTGCTGACTGGACCAAGCAGTGTGATTCGCTTCCGGTAAGAAGGTTTGTTTTTCCCCTTGTGCAGGAATAGACCTGATCGCAGCATTCTATGGTTGCCTGTATGCAGGCTGTGTGCCAATAACCGTCCGTCCTCCGCACCCACAGAACATCGCGACAACCCTGCCCACCGTCAAGATGATTGTGGAGGTAACAGAGACTGGTGGTGTCTGGGTATGTCACCTGCCCTGCATCTGAGTGCAGAGCTGTGGCTTTCAGGGCCTGAACTTGCCTAGGATAGGTGCTGGCTGGAGGAGCATGTGTGTGTCTGGAGTCAAAGCAGTAGAACAGGAAAGTCTTCTGCCCTCAGGGAGCTGACGATTGGGTTCCAGAAGCAGGCTTTAAATGTACACATGGAAGCAGGGGCTCCAGGGTAGCAGTTGCTGCGGTGTTTTGAAATCAAAAGAGCCCTGGAGAAAACAGTTCCCTAGAGAGGGCCTTTCTACCATTCCCAAGGCTTCCCACCACACCCACTGAGCCAGCCAACCACACAGAGAAGCAGTAACTTTTTAAGTTCTATCCTCAAGGTTTAGAAGTTTCAGTTCCCTTTTGAAAGTCTAGATTTGTTGACACACCCGGGAAAGTGTAAGAAGAGGGGGAGACGTTTTTCCCCCTTGGAAGGAAAAACACAAGGAACAACACAGTTTGAGGACAGAGAATGCCGTTGTCCTTCCCACACATGGATCCCTTTTGTGGCCGTGTTGGAGAACTCCCGCGGTGGCCAGTCCCGTTAGAAAATACTCATGACTTGTCTGGGTTTGGGTGACATTTCCAGTAGAACAGAGCTGGCGGTGAGAGCAGTTAGTTTCAATGCTCTCCTCTGTGTGATCGCGGCACTGTGGAGCCACTCAGGAGTGCCCTGAGGCCCCCGGGCTTTGCTTCCGGCTTCCGCCATTGGGTTTCCAGCTCCTCTATCTCAGTAGCCGCGAGGAGGAAAGCAGAAGCCTTGGCGATCCCATCTGCCCCTGCCAGAGCCCTGTGGCTTCATCTGCACAGTGTCCATGGGCACATGTGGAAGGAGGGAGGGTCAGTGAACGGCCCATCTGTGGTCCACCCTCCCTCACTCGCCCTTTGTCCTCTGATGCCAGGTGAGTCGCTCCGCCTGTCTGATGACCACGCAGCTGATCTGCAAGTTGTTGCGGTCCAGGGAGGCAGCGGCAGCTGTCGATGTCAGGACGTGGCCCCTCATGCTGGACACAGGTGGATGCTCAAACTGGCCGAATGGGTTTGTTTGCTTCCGTGGCTCTGAGTTGGGGTGCGGATGCCAATAGCTTTGTCTTGCTCTCCAGATGACTTGCCAAAGAAGCGGCCCGCCCAGATCTGCAAACCGTCCATTCCAGACACCCTAGCGTATCTCGATTTCAGTGTGTCCACAACTGGGATGCTAGCTGGCGTAAAGGTGAGCGTGGGGGCTGCCTACGTGCTGGAGCAACAGGTGTGTGCTGACGTTTGCAGTAGAAGGACCCCCCACACCCAGTTCTGTCATCCCTCGCTGGAGTGATGGATGAGTGGGGAGACAGGTGTTGGCTGGATTTCCCTGATTGCTCCAAGGTGCTTGCTGATCCCTTTGCAGTGGATCTCTGGGCGCCCTGCTACTTCAGGTTAACCTATGAGGTGTCTTTAAACTGGCACGTCGTGCAGTTTTCTGTGCTGCTTTGCTTCTTGTTTCTCTTGGATTTGTTTGGCTAGAAAGCCTCTGTGGAAAGCTGGTGTTGTGACACTAGTTTTGTGGTATTGCAGAATAATTCACATTCCCTGCTAACCATAGTGCAACTATAACTGGGACTGGGGAAGAAGACAAGCAGAGCTCTTCGCCGTCGCTTCCTCGATGGTAGTGGACTGAACATGGGCTGCAGTCTCGCCTCAGGGCCCTATAGGAAAGGGCATCAGACCCTGTGTCGGAAGGCCTGGGTTCTAATTCCAGCTCTGGCTTATGTGACCTGCAGCAAGTATTTTGGCTTCTCTGAACCTACGTTTCCCAATCACCAAGACGAGGCGATCTGTCCAGCATGTCTTACTGGCCACCCAGTGCACTGCGGGTACTGTGTCCAGCTCTGGGGATGCCCCAGGAAAAAGCCTGGTCTCCATCTGCAGAGGTGGGAATGAACTGTGACAGCTCCACATACAGTTCAAGCTGGGTCACATGAGGACCCCTTCATGTGTAACCTGCTGTTCAAATGCAAGATGTCATCATTTAAATTGCTGCAGTGATTCGGTCTCGGAGGACCAGGAGTTTTGAGTGAAGTTTACTGATTGAAAATGCGGACACCCGTGAGAACATTAGCAGCTGTGCACCCCAATGCACCATAGCTCGGGCTTGGCTGCAGTTGTCCCTGGTCCTGAAAATGTCTTTTGGTCATTTTCACTTAACGTAGCCTTATTGGTGTACATGTCCATGGGTATCAAGTTCCACGCATCTAATGCAGCCTGTTGCCAGATGTCTTTGGGTGTCAGGTCCCACGTACCCTATGTAGCCTGCTGTCTTTGAGCATCAGGTCCCATGTATCTAACGTGGCCTGCTGTCTTGAAGATGTCTTTGGATGTCAGGTGCCATGTATCTAATGCATCTCATGTGGACTTGTTCTCTGGGAGATGTCTTGAAGTATCAGGTCCCATGTATTTAATGCAGGCTTGTTTCTTGCGACATCTCTAGGGATGAGGTCCCATGTATTTTGATGCGCCTTGTATCTTGCAGATGTCTCACGCAGCCACCAGTGCCTTTTGCCGTTCCATTAAGCTGCAGTGTGAACTTTACCCGTCTAGAGAAGTGGCCATCTGCCTGGACCCTTACTGTGGACTGGGATTTGTCCTCTGGTGCCTCTGCAGGTGAGATTCCTTTTTATATCTTTAAGGTCAAGGGGGAACCCTACACCCTTGTCTCTACACCTGTGGCCCAGCCAGCAATCCTGAGCAGTGCCCTTCCCTCCCCTGGGGCTGCAGAGTGGCCGAGCCCTGTTCCTGCACCTCTCCTGGTACACTCGGCTCCCAGGACAGAGTGGCACGTGAGGTGTCTTCCACATCCTGTGGCACCTCAGCGACATTGTGGGGAAGCTTACAGCGCCAGTAGCCATTAAGGATGCTCTGAATGCTGTCTGTTGCAGGCCTTTATTTCTCCCAGGTGGAAGACTCCCAGGCTTAGGCTTGGTTTTTAGACGCCTTTGAAACCTGGCTAGCAGACGTGGCCTGGATTTTCATCGGTCCAGTAGGCGTTTTAGGGTCTCACTTCTTTCACTTCTCGGCCGCTGTTACTTGGGAGGGCCTGGGGTGTGGGACAAGTTCCATGAGGGCTGAGCATGTCCCATGGACTGCAGCACTCTCCCGCAGCCGACTGGGGCCCGGCGTCGGAAATACTCAGCAGGCATTTGTAGCTGAACGCTGTCAGATAAGCAGATGGTGGTTTCTTGGAATTTTGTTTCGTTATCTGGTTATCCATCCGTCCGTCCATTCGTCCATCCACCCCTGTCGCCCAGGTTGGAGTGCCGTGGCGCGATCACAACTCGCTGCAACCTCGACCTCCTGAACTCAGGCAGTCCTTCTGCCTCAGCCTCCCGAATGGCTGAGACTAGAGGCCCACGCCATCATGCCCACCTAATGCTTTTATGTCTTTTGTAGAGACGAGGTTTTGCTATGCTGCCCAGGTTGGTCTTGAACTCCTGGGCTCAAGTGATCCTCCTGCCTTGGCCTTCCAAAGTGCTGAGACTACAGGTGTGAGCCACTGGGTCTGGCCCAAATTTTTTATGATTGTGTATATATGTGTGTTGTAGAAATTTTAGAAAATATAAGATAATACAAAGAAGAAAATGAAGCCATCAATAGCCATACCCCCGGACAAACAGTAGACAAACCTCCTCTTGTGGTGTACGGTCTGTCAGGGCTTATTTTCTAATGTTGCATGCTGGTTTTCGCTAACATTTTCAAACATATATGAGTGTTTGAGGTGTGCTATAATAAATACCAGCGACCGTCATCCAGCTCTGTGTGTCAACATTTTAGCAACTTTATCTGCTTTTTTAAAAAATGGGGAATTCTAAAGCTAACACAGACATCATGTAACTTTACTTATAAATTTAGAGGCATATAATTTTACAAATAAACATACATTAATGTTATAAAACTGAGATGTTCGGTATGAAATTTATTTTTTCTCAATAGACTATATTGGGTTTTTTCTCATGTCTTTAAACATTCTTCTAGAACAATTATTTTTAATGTATTCATAATATTTGGTAGTAATACATTGGATTAAAATCTAATCCCATAGTTTTGGAAAACACTGATATTCTAGTTAGGACAATTAAGCAAATTGAATTAAATAAACGAAATATTTTATGGTTTGTTCCTCCATCCCAAATGCTGATCGTATTGTGTTTTTTCCCCTTGGGAAGTATCTCCGAACATGTCATTGCAGCAGTTGGGCCCAAATGACCTTAGATATCTGTCCAGCTGAGCAGGAGGGCAGGGTCTGTCCTGAACAACTACTGCCCTTACAGGATGACTGTATTTCATTTGGCAGAGTATACCAGTGAGAACAAAGCCAGCAGTTGGAGGACTTATAGAACTCATGGCTTCAAGTGATCCTCCTGCCTTGGCCTCCTAAAGCACTAGGATTGCAGGCATGAGCCACCGTACCTGGCTGGTTTTCTGATTTTGATGGCTTAATTGGTTTGGGGAGGAAAATATACTTGCTTCTTGGGAATATCCTCTGAAGTATTTGTGGATGGGGAATCAGGTCTGTGACTCACCATCAAACGATTTAAGGGGAGAAAGTCCTTTTTATTGTACTTGCAACTTTTCTGTAACTTTGTGATTGTTTGAAAGTTAAACAAAAATTAATACAAATAATTTTTATATACTTTTGTCCTAATGCTTCCTTCAATCATAAAGTGGAGACCAACAGAATTTAAAACCTTTATATGATGGAATTGTTTCTAAATATTTCTTACAACCATACAAGCTTTTTTTTTTTTTTTTGAGTTGGAGTCTCACTCTGTCGCCCAGACTGGAGTGCAGTGGCCGCTCCCGGCCACCGCAGCCTCGACCTGCTGGGCTCCGGTGATCCTTCCGCCTCAGCCTTCCGCCTCAGCCTTCCGAGTAGCCGGAATTACAGGCATGCGCTACCACGCCTGGCTGATTTTTTGATTTACTGTAGAGATGAGGTCTCGCTGCCCAGGCGGGTCTCGAACCCGCAGGCTCAGGCAATCCACTCACCTCAGCCTCCCAAAGGTGCGGGATTACAGGCTGAGCCACCGAGCCCGGCTTCCATACAAGTTTTTTAAAACCGTATCATCCGTGTTTATGGATTAGAAGATTCAATATTATTAAAATGGCAGTACTTCCCAAATTGTTGTATAGATTCAATGTGATCTCCACCAAAATCTCAGCAGGCTTTTTTTTTTCCCATTGAAAGCATGGTATAAAGGACCCATAATGGTGAAAACAATTTTGAATCAGAATTTAAAAATTGGAGAATTTAGACTTCCACTTTGTGATTTCATAAATTACGCTGATAACCAGAACAGTGTGGTACTGGCATAGAAGTAGACTAATATATATATTTGAAACAGAATTGAGAATTGGCTAATATGTATGGCTAATATGTATGGCTAATAGATTTTTTAAGGAAGTTGCCAAAGCAATCCAATGGGGGAAAAGGTTTTTTTTTCAACAAACGATGCTGGAAAAATTGATCATCCACATGAAAAAAGATGAACTTACACCTTTACCTGGCATCATATATGTCAGCTGGCTCAAGTGGATCATAGATTTTAATGCTAGAGCAGAAAATACTTTAAATTTTTAGAAGAAAGCACAGGAGTAAATCTTTGCAATCTCAGGTATGGCACCAAAGGCACAATACATAAAAGATAGATCGCTAAACTGGATTTTGACAGAATGTAAAACTTTTGCATATCAAAAACATGAGTAAGAAAGTATAAAGATAAGCCACGGTCTGGGGGAAAAAATTTGCAAGTCACATATCTGGCAAAGTATTTCTAACCAGATATATATACTTTACTCTTGAAACTTGAAAATAAGAAAACTAGCAGCATAGCATAAACAGGGGCAAGAGACTTGAATAGTCACCTCACCCAAAAAAGACATACAAATGTCCAAAAAGGTCATGAAAATAGTTTCAACATTAATTATGGAAATGTAAATTAAAACCACAAGAATATACCACTTCACAGCCACTAGCCATAACCAAAAAGGCAAAGTTGGAGGCATTTTCCCTGACTTCAAAACTTATGCTACAAAGCAGCAGTAACCAAGAACATAGAAACCTGGAATTCTCATGTCCTGTTGATGGGAGAGTAAAATGGAGAAGCCACAGTTGGGCATGATATTTACAAATGGAACTTGAGTTGGCCGTGTGACTTGGCAGTTCTGCTCTGAGGCATCCACCCCAGGGAAGGGAAAGCACACGTCCACACACAGGCGTGACGTCAAGGCTCGTGTGGCCTTCATCAGACACACACACACACACACACACACACACACACACACACACACACACACACACACACGTGTGCACGCAGGAGCAATGCAAATGCCACAACAGGCGGATGAGCAAACAGATAAACAGCGTTTGCTGTAGCTAGACAAGGGAATGCTTGGAATGCTACGACACAGACAGACTTCAAAAGCACTACGCTAAGTGAAAGACGCCAGACTCAAAAAAGTCAAATGTGACATGATTATATTATATGACATATCCAGAAAAGGCAAATCTATGGAGACAAAGTAGCCGGGACTCAGGTTGGAAATGATGAAAGATGGACACAGGGATCCCTTTAGGATGATAGGTACATGCTAGAACGGCACTGTGGTGATAATTGTGCAACTGCAAAATGATTAAAATCATCTAACTCTGTGCTTACAATGGGTCAGTGTTATGGTATGCAAAATATACCTAGATAAAGCTGGAATTTTTTTTTCTTTTTTAAGAGAAAGGTGTCACGTTGTCATGATTGACGTGTGTAGTAAGCCCTGTGAGAGAAGCCGGCAGCAAAGGGGCTCGGCCCGTGAGGCCCACAGGGTGATGTGAGGCTGTCTTGCTAACTGCCCAAGTGGTGAGAGTTTTCAGCTATAGGTATTCTTTGTCAGGTTAATAATCTGAAATCATTGAATTTCTAATGTGTAATTCCATATTAGGTTACCAAATGTCTTTTTTAAGATCTAAAGTGAAACAGCTCAGATCAGAAATTCTTAGAAAATAGTGTCTTCACAACCAGCAGCCTGCTACTAAGTAGGTTTGTCTTGTCATGGGGCGTAGTCATTGCTGAAAGATCAACTTTGGCTCATAAGTACAGCAGTTAATCGACACGTGTTGAGTGGAGAAGATACAAGCAAGTAGAAAAACATTGAGTTTTATGTTTTTCTGCTGTCAGCATGGATTAGTTTTTTCCTGACGGTGATTTCCTACTTACAGGGCTGAGGAGGGAGGTGAAACTATATTTAATTTTCATAAGTGTTCTTCAAGTTCTCTAGCCTTCCGCCCACATTATCCTGTTTGTGTGTTGACAGTTCTGATCAAGAAAATCATTAATCCTGACGTGTGTTCATGAGAAAGCCAGTGGTGGTTATTTGTATTTGTTTGGGGTTCCTGGTGATACATTTATGAAGCCAGATGCTGGGAGCAATATGGAAATGACAGAGTGTCACTTGGGAAATGGGAAGAACATCCTGCGGTTTGACCTGCAAAGTCATTAAGCGTGTTTGGTGCCTGGCACTGAAGATGTAATGGCCTTAGTGTGAGAGAACGCAGTCGTTGAATTTGGGCCGCCACCAAAAGCACCCCAGGAAATCTCATCAAGGTAGTGTCATCCACCCTGATTCGTGAATGGATTGAATGGCATTTGGTGTTAACAGAAACACTGTGTTCAATTACTTCTCAAAGTGGCAAAAAACACGTTTCCTGGTGGATCATGATGACGTATAAGATACATGACGCGCAGGCTTGTTATATCTTACGCCATTGCCTGTTGTATGATGCCATTTTTGGTCTTGAGATTGTTCTTTTCATAGCACAGGTAAATTTTTCCATTACCTTTATACCTTCCTGCTCAGTGCTGGCCGAGGCCTCTAACTGGAGTCGACACATTCGCTTGTAAGAAAAGATCCAGTTCCAAGACTAGAGAGAGTTTGTATGATAACCCTAGCATACTGTGCTGCAAGTGACAGAAAGCAGGACTGCAAAGCTGTGAGTGGCCTGTGGGAGCCAAACTGTATCAGCTTCCCTTGAAGCCCGTCCAAAGGGGAATGTCCTACTTGTTAGCACTTGATGGGAGGTTGCCCAACTAGGGACAAGGCAGGGGTGAGACCCACCATGCAGCGTCTTGGCTGGAGATAAGAGAGGGTAATTGTTATCTGGCTTAGCATGATTGGCCCTGAAAGTAAGGCTGCAGGTCCCCAAAACTGGTGCATGAGACCTCTGTACATGTGAGCAGAGAAGACATAGGTTGGCCCCTCAGATATTTTGCTGGAGCTGAGGAGGTGACTGGTTTGCTCTCTGACCCCAAGAGTGTAACTTTTGGGAGGTTATCTTGAGGATAATATGGTATGCCTCAAAAGTAAGAAAGCAAACAAGAATGCTCGGAAGCTTATCTTGCGCTGGCTTTTAAAACTGACTTTATTTTATTTTTGATTCATTTTCCTTTCCCACCAGAAACGTTTGTGATCCCACTTCCCCTCTCACTGATATTTAGTGGTCTCACATTATTTGATTATTGCCTATCTAGTGGAAATGAAATACTACCTTTTGTCATTTTAATTTGCCCTTGGAAACTCTGATTTTTAAAGAGCCTCAGTTTCAGAGAAAAGAACATCTAAATAAAAATTGGCTTTCATAGACTGCAAGGATTAGGCTAAATTTGTATAGAGATTTTGTTTGCTGTTAATAAGTAGTTGTTTGACCAGGTGTAAGTCTGTTCTGTTATTCAGAGATGTTTGTTGTGATATCATTTGATTTCTGTTGGAAAACCTATAGTGATCTTTAGCAATCTAATTTCCCAAGGACAAATCTTAGTGAAAAGTCGACAGATTTTTGAGTGTTATAATTGTTTAAATATTGACCATAAAATCACTTGTACATTTCCATAGGGAATGCAAATCACAAACACCATGAGGGTACCAATAGCCATGATTTAAAAAACATAAAATAGCCAGGCTCGGTGGCTCAGCCTGTAATCCCACGCCTTTGGGAGGCTGAGGTGAGTGGATTGCCTGAGCCCGCGGGTTCGAGACCCGCCTGGGCAGCAAGACCTCATCTCTACAATAAAATAAAATAAAAAAAAAATTAGCCGGACGTGGTAACGCGCGCCTGTAACTCCGGCTACTTGGAAGGCTGAGGCGGAAGGATGGCCGGAGCCCAGCAGGTCGAGGCTGCGGTGGCCGGGAGCGACCACTGCACTCCAGTCTGGGCAACAGAGTGAGACTCCAACTCAAAATCAATCAATCAATCAATCAATAAAATTTAAAAAAACACATAAAATAGCAAGTGTTGGTGGGGATGGGGGTAACTTGGAACCTTTGCAGATTGCTGGTGAGACTGTAAAATGGTGCTGCTGCTGTAGAAAACAGTTTGGTGATTCCTCAGAATCACAGAACACTGTGTGATCCAGCAATTCTACACTTAGGCCTATACCCGAAGGGGTTGAGGACTGGGCTCAGACAGAACACCAGTGTTCACTGCAGCATTGGTCACAGCAGCCAAAAGTGGCAGCCAACACACTGGCCATCAGTAGATGAGTGGACAAACAAAATGTGATATGTCCATACAATTGAATACTATCCAGTCATAAAACGGAAGGAAATTGTCACATGCAAGTCTGGATCAATCTCAAAACATGCTAAATGAAATAAGCCGGACAAAAAAGGACAAATATTGCACCATCCACTTCTGTGACGTATTTAGAACAAGAAAATTCTTCGCGAAGAAAGACGAGTGCAGGGTCCAGAGGGGCAGGACCAGGAAGGGATGGGGAATTGCTGCTGAACGGGCAGAGTTTCAGTTCAGCATGATGACAAGTTGCTGGAAGTAGATGGTGGTGATGACTGCTCCTCCGTGTGAATGTAGCTACTGCCACTGGAAATGTACACTTAGAAATGGTTAAAATAGCCGGGCTCGGTGTCTCAGCCTGTCATCCCGCGCCTTTGGGAGGCCAAGGTGAGTAGATTGCCTGAGCCTGCAGGTTCGAGACCCGCCTGGGAAACTTGGCGAGACCTCATCTCTACCATTAATCAAAAACGTGCCGGGCGTGGTAGCACGCGCCTGTAGTTCCAGCTCCTTGGAAGGCTGAGTGGAAGGATCGCCGGCGCCCAGCAGGCGAGGCTGCGGTGGCCAGGAGTGGCTACTGCGCTCCAGTCTGGGCGACAGAGTGAGACTCCAACTGGTCAATGTCATATATGTTTTGCCACAATAACATTTTTAAAATTAAGACAAAAATCGATGCATTGCAGAGTAGTAATTCGAAGACTGATATTCTCCCTTTATGTACCTAACCTCTCTGTTCTCAAAGGAAAAGACCACAGAAAAGGTCAGTGTTTACTAGACAGTCGCCCCTTGGTGTCCATGGGGATGGATTCCAGGTCTCCTTGCAGATACCAGAATCCCAGGATGCTCAAGTCCCTGATATAAAATGGTGCAGTTTTTGCATGTAGCCTACGTGCATCCTCCTATAAACTTTAAATCATCTCTAGATTACTTACGATATGACGTAAGTGCTATGTAAATAGTTGTTATGCTATATTTTTCAGTTAATAACAAGAAAAAGCCCGTATGTGTTTGGTACACAGGCAGTTTTTTTTTCCCCCTGAATACTTTCTCTTCCTGTTTGGTTGAAGTCACAGATGTAGAACCCATGGATATGGAGGGCAACTATGTTTCCTTTTAACAAAAATAAATGAAACTTTAGAGCAATAAAAAATAAATGAAAATCTGCCCTAAAATGCCCTTTGTCACATCCCCTGAAGAATAGTTTTTCATACTGAGAGTTCTCTTAGAAGTAGATTTTGTTAGCCAATTTAATTTCCTTACATTTCATTAACCAGTTGGATTCCCTTGTAAACAATTTTGAAACTTTTTAAATGTGAGTAAGCACTTTGGGAGACCAAGGCAGGAGGATTGTTTGATGACAGGAGTTCAAGACCACTTGGGCAGCACAGCCAGACCTCCCCCCGACTCCGAAATAAATAAATGTATGAACAAATAAATAATATGTGATTGGCCACATTAAAGAAGAGTTGACTTTAGTGTAGGATAGTAGTTAATGGGGCCTAATGTGCTAATTCATTCACATTTTGTGTAGCTAGAAAACCTCTTTATTTAACTCTTAGAAGGTAATTTCTAAGATATTTTATTACAATGTATGACATCTACTAATATTGATTCACAGTAGTAAACCAAAAAAATTTTTTAATGTAGTTATGGCAAATAATTATTTTAAGTCCACACTTGCCCCATCCATTGATAATGAGTTAAAATAGATAATCTGGGCATGGTGGCTCAAACCTGTTATCCCAGCACTTTGGGAAGCTGAGGCAGGAGGGTAACTTGAGCTTCCAGAGTTCAAGACCAGCCTGAGCAGCATAGACCTTGTCTCTAAAAGAAAAAAAGTAAATAAATAAAATAATCTGTAATTTTTCTTCATTTCTCTATATGTCCCCTTTAAGATAAAGGTAAAATTAAAGACTAGTTATGTGTTTCTTAGTTCTTCTGTTTCATGATTTGTTTGAATCATTTTAAAGTAAAAATCCAAACTTAAAAAGATTGAGTGGCTAACTTTCATTAATTGTCATAATTTTTTTTCTTTTACTCTGGATGTCAGCTCTCTAAATCAGAGGTAGGCATACTGTTTCTTAAATGGCCATTTCGTCAATATTTTAGGTTCTGTGGTCTCTGTCCAGCCACTCAGCCCAAAACTGTCTGTATCTAAGCAAACAATAAATGGCCCTGTTCCAGTAAAACTGTATTTACAAAGATAGGCAGCCTGTGGTTCACCAGCTTCTGTTCTGAACTTCCAGGCGTTTTTACCAAAATTTGATCCCTGTGTTTCCTTCCATGAAATAGCAGGTTTAATAGCAGGTTTGAGAGAAAGTGCTCAAAATGGTAATAACTGTATTATAATCCCTCAAGTATGGATGGGCTTTCCAGAGTGCTTTCGGAAGTAGGAGTTCACCGTGTAGAGTTGGTTTTGCTGTCCCCACCCTTCGAGTGACAGCACGGGCCGCTCGAGGGCTTTCCCTTTGGTGTTGTCCCAGCTCATCCATCGCTGCTGGGTGCCCGCCCTGACAGCCTCTTCTCTCTCTGCAGTGTGTACTCAGGGCACCAGTCCATTCTGATCCCACCCTCGGAGTTGGAAGCCAACCCCGCCTTGTGGCTTCTTGCTGTGAGTCAGTACAAAGTCCGGGACACCTTCTGTTCCTACTCAGTGATGGAGCTGTGTACCAAGGGGCTGGGCTCCCAGACGGAGTCCCTCAAGGTAAGCGCCTCCCTCCCCAGCCTCGGGGCCCCTGGGGAACTCGTGTCTAAGAGGGGACACCCACAGAGTGGATGGCGTTAAGGCAGTCCTTTCGAAAGTGTGGTCTCCTGTCACCTGAAGCTTGCAAGTTGTTTCAGTATGAAAGCATTGTCTTTTTAACGCGAGTAGGTCTCCACGACCGCGAATCGTAATGAGCCGGAGTATAAAATATTCTTTTAACGTATTTCCACCAGGTCTACTTGAAAGGTCCTAAGGTGCTCTTTTTGTTGGTTTGATAGACTGAGTTCTTCAGTGACATTAACTTTGTCTGATATTCGTGTTTAATTAGATATGTTTGAACTTCACACCTCTCATTTTTGTTTTTCTTGGAGACCTTCAGTTATAGGTCTGGACCCTAACCAAAATTAATGTTACAATTAAATAGATATTGTTGTATTTTTAAAAATAATAATAATTGCCATCATGTAAGAATAATAGTATCTCACTCCATTTAAACGAAGGACATTTTGGTAGATGTATTTTCATGATAGAGTAAGTAGTCCTTAATTCCAAATATCTAGAAGGGAGTGATCATATGGCCTGTTTTGATTATATTTCAACCTACTATTCACTTTGCAAGTCCAGAAAGTGTGTATGTCTTTGTAGATATACAGATTGTGTTTGTGTGTGTATATATATGCATACACACCGATCATTTATACACATAAATAATGAAGAACATTTATCCTCCTAATGCATTAAACTTGAAGAGGAAAACAAAATGCAAGATAACTTTGATATTAAGCTAAATAAATAAATGTGCAATTATCTTAAGTTATATATTTATATAGGGAAAGCATAATCATTCCTCATGTCCACTTATATCATATTAGAAAATGAACTTTCTTTTTGTTACTTCTGTAAGTAACCAAAATAAAATAACACAGTTGAGGGACTACTAAACCCTTTATGTATTCATTTAATTCTTACAACAGCTCTCTGAACTGGGAACCATTATTGTCTTCAGTTTAAAGAGAAAGTAACTTAAGTTACAGGGAAATTGAGCACCGTTTCCAAGTTCTTATGTTTAATAAACTTGGAGCTCAATTTGGAGTCGCTGATCTCAGACCCACTGTCAAAACCACGTGCTGCCTCACCTCTCAGACGTGCACACTTCGCATTACTGAGCCTTCAGTTTCTTCTGTGTAACTGTATATATGTACAGTCGTTTTTACATGCTAAGTGTTCATGTCAAAGGAGTCTTGAACTGTGCTTCCTCCTCATCCAGCACCTCTGTCAGGTGTCGCTGTGCTGAGACCACGTGAAAAGGGGGGTTGAATGGTCTGGGTTTGCACAGTGCCCTCCTAGTTCACGACCCACCTTCACATTCGCATCCAGTCCCTGTTGCTGGCTTCTTCTCCCTTGGCTGAGCCTAGGAAACACCAGCTTTTATCACAGAGCATGCTGTGCGGAACCCACTGAATCCTTTCTTGCGTGGTTGTTGCTGTGCGGCTTAGCTGACCGAATGTAGTGCAGAATCGGAGGCGCGCTTAGTCACGTGCTTAACGTGGAAGCTGAGGTGCACTTGACAATGAAAACTCATCTGCAACATCATACGTATAATGGGACATAAGTGGAGAGCTGTCTTTATGAAATTGTCTACAAATTTTAGTTTGCATTCCTATATTTTATCTATCTATTTATGTATTTATTTATTATCTTTGCGTTGAGGTCTCAGCTGTATTGGTCAGGCTAGAGTGCAGTGGCACACTCAGGGCCACTGCAGCCTCGACCTGCTGGGCTCAGGCAATCCTTCCACCTCAGCCTTCCAAGTAGCCTGAACTACAGGCACATGCCACCAAGCCTGGCTAATTTTTAAATTTTTATTGCAGAGATGAGGTCTCTCCAAGTTGCCCGGGCTGATCTTGAATCCCTGGGCTCAGGCAACCCTCTCGCCTCTGCCTCCCAAAGTGCTGGGATTACGGGCATAAGCCACTGTGCCCGGCTTTACACTCCTGTCCTTTAAAAAAGTAGCTTCTCATTTCTCTCCAGTGTGTGTTCTTGTGTGCCCAGGCTCAGGTCGCACCAGGTGCTTCTCCTTTCCTGTCCGTAGGGACCTCATCCAGGAAGTTGCTTTTCCTCAATCCTTTTCCTCGCCATCGTTCTCCTGTGGTTTCAAATACTCTTACCTTGGCAGTCTCAGGGATGTGAACATGTGAGTGAGCTTTTCTCACCCACCTCCCAGAACGGTTAAATCAATGACATGGGCACGGGTAGCCCTGGAAACCAACAGCCGGGCTGAGTTTCCCGGTGTTTCTGTGGGTTTTGAGGGGAGGAGTCTCTGGGTCACGCAGAACCACACGTTGAAGCTGACACAGTGTTGCTTGGCTACTTCCAGGCGCGAGGTCTGGACTTGTCCCGCGTGAGGACCTGCGTGGTCGTGGCGGAGGAACGGCCTCGCATCGCTCTCACACAGTCGTTCTCCAAGCTGTTCAAGGACCTGGGCCTCCATCCACGGGCTGTCAGCACCTCATTTGGCTGCAGGGTGAACCTGGCGATCTGCTTGCAGGTGAGTGTCGCTGAGACCCGTGCTCGAGTCAGAAGAGCAGCTTTCAGCGACAGGTGTACAGTCCAGACTTGCTCATGCCTTCCGTGGCTGAGGCCAAGCTGCACTCAGAAGAGCGTCTTTAATCAAATGCATGTGACTGGTGCGCATTTGCTTCCTTTTTTTTTTTTGCATAGAGTCTGAGTTTGTATCCATTATTATTCAGAACTAGCGTTCATAGAGCTTATTCTGTCCTGGAACGTTTTACCTTTTGTAATAGGAGTAGCAGTTTGCCAGACTTCTGCTGTCACTGGACAAATGTCTCACTGTGGTGGGAAATCCTGTCTCTTGAAGTACACAGTCCATGGATGTGGGCAGTTTGTGTAGGAGGAATTTAATCCCACGGAGCAGGTTTGAGAATTTGCTGCTGTAACAGCAACTTAGACTTAGCAAAGTTGCCTTCCCATGAAATAGGTGTAAATGAGACGCTCTCGCACGGCAGCCTTGTGTGGACAGTGGCTAAAAAATTCTTGCATTTTCTTTTTCTTCATCAGTCCACTTCTGACCATCTTCACTACTTCTTTCCCTTTGAACCTTTGACACAAGATACACCAACTCATGGAGGTCACGAAGCCAGGCCAGGGCTGCCAAAAGGAGGGGCGGGGGAGACCGGTGGGATGCCCTCCCAGGACCTCGTCCTGCAGGCTGCCTGAACTGGCCAATCCCAGGCAGAGCTGCAGAGCTGGTTCCCAAGAAAACGAGAACTTGACTCACAGCAGTGCCGGCAAGGTGAAGGGTGGGTATGCATCCACCTCCCTCTCTGCCTACTCCTGTCCTTCCATCTGTGATCCCAGAGATGATTTCCTGGGTTGCTGTCTGGGTGAGCCTTAGAAAGCTCTTGGTCTGCTTTCTTCTTGGCTGTCTAGGTGCTTAGACTTAGCCACTGTGTTGAGGAAGGAGCCTCCCCTCTTCCCGTGTGGCCATCCTGAGATCATTTCAGCAAAAATAGCTGCAAAAAGCTTTTATAAATTCTCATATGGGGATGTTCCTTGTTTCTGTCATCCTTCTCTTTGAATTAGCTCCATTAACAAAAATTATAACCTGCTAAATTCCTCTCAAGAGCCATTTAAACCTTGTCCTGTGCTTGAAATTAATCCCCTTCTTTAAAGTTTTCAAGCAAAGTTTATTAGCGAAAGGAGGGAGAAGAGGAAGGCCGACACCCAGAGTTGGCATGGGTGAGAGGAACCACCTAATTCCCTTTTCTCTGAGGCATCCAAAGAATCGGACTTTCCTTGCCAAGCTAATTCTTTAAGTATAGACGTTTCCTTTCCCTGTCCACCTTTATCCGCCCCTCACAAGTGTTTCTCACCACGGGTTCCATTAGGAGAAATGGGAAATGCAGAAGTCCACGTGTGAGACGAATTCAGCATGTCACTCTCCCCTTCTTCCACAAGTGATGGGGACTCCCAGCCAAGAACACATCAGCGATGCATAAGAGACAGGCTCTGGGCTGCAGTGGCATCCATTCTGCTGGCTTTTCTTTTAAAATGTCGGGCGGAGGGTGAGGGGGCAAGAGCAGCGTGGATTCTGTACGAACGCCGTGACACGTAGCACCATTTGCGCCAGCAGGTCGCAGAGCTCCGAAACGCTCTGCCATGCGAAGCCAGCTTGTAGGTCTGAGGACTCGTGCCTGTGCTTCTTAGTTTGCTTCTTTGATGTATTTGCTTTGCTGTGTGTGTCCATCCACCTAGGTTCAAATGCTTTAAGAGGTTTACAAGGAGGGAGTACTGTAAGAGAGAGTGCCTGTGCTTCTTAGTTTGCTTCTTTGATGTATTTGCTTTGCTGTGTGTGTCCATCCACCTAGGTTCAAATGCTTTAAGAGGTTTACAAGGAGGGAGTACTGTAAGAGAGATGAAGCACCCTAGAAATAAGCAGAAAATGGAAGTGACCGAGAAATAAGAGTAAGAAAGTGGCAGAGTCAAGAGCAACGTCCGCATGTTGGTCGTGGCCGCGAGGTGTCTGCAAGTGTCGGCACGGTGCCCTTCACCTCCCCTCCGCTCCCCTAGAACCAGGCCCGGCACCCTGTGGATTCTTAGGAAGTGTGTGCTGTGACTATGTCAAGGGAGTGAAGTTCTTTATTCCTAGTAGGAAATAATCATATGTTTTTCTACAGAAAATTCTTCTATCAGTGTGACTGCTGCATCAAAAGCTAATGCTGCTGGCCACGGATCATGGCACTGTCTTGCCATCTCGGCAGCATCTTTAAGCCTTTTTTCATATTCTCGGTTTTTTCAACTGCTTTGCTTTGTTCTCCACTCCTTTTCAGCCAGCTTTTCCTGGTCTGGTGGTATTAGAAAACAGTGGGAATATCAAAGTGTCTGATAGTAGAGGATGAGGTCGCTAAGCTCCAGTGCCTTGTCCAGAAGAATGCGGCTCTCTTCCCTTGCCAGAACCTTTAAGGCCAGGCACACGTTCAGGACTTCCGGCGTTCTGAGAAGAGAGGCAGCACGTATGCCCTGCGTGATGCCACAGCCCAGCAGCACCTGCAGTCACAGACGTCAGTGTCCCCGGAGCACAGAGGGGAAACTTCCAGATTTTGAGGAGCATGGGTCAATTTCATGTCAGCTACAAATTTTGCTACAAATAAGCTTAAGACCAAGTTCTTGTCCTGCCAAATGTGTCTCATAATCAGTGAGATGGACAGTAAACGTGTAGATGATTTTTTCAGGAAGTGAATGAAATATTCTTAGTAAAAGTAAGCAGTGAGAGGACAAAGAGTGACTCGGGCCCAAGGGGGCGACTGCAGGGTGGGTGGTCAAGGAAGGCCCCACTGCAGCGCCCTTTCTGCAGAGCGTGGTAAAGGCGGAGCTGTGTGGCCATTCAGGCCAAGGCCAGGGCTTTCGGCGGGCTGGTCTTTGGGAGCATTCATTTCTCTGAATTTTTGCACAGTTCACGTCATTTTTTTCGAATGATGATGTTACCACACAAGCAGAGCAAGTCTAGCCAGAGATCCACAGGCAGAAATCCTCTGTCTCTCATTCTCCATCTTGTACGAGAATCTGATCATAGTAAATGCCTAATAACAGTATGTTTCATGTACTGACTAAATGGAATTCTTACGAATGTCTGGACAAACAAAATAACATGAAATGTTTCTGAATTTTGTATAAATTGAATTTTTTTCTTTGCAAAAATATTTATTATAGAAAGCAAAATTGGAAAATACAGATTAACTAGTAAATAAATAAATGATAATGCCCCCAAATCCATCTACCCAGAGATAACTGCCATTAATCACTTGATGTTAAAAAAAAATCAAAAGCACAAACTGGGCACAGTGACTCATGCTTGTAATCCCAACACTTTGGGAGGATTGCTTGAGCCCAGGAGTTGGACACTATGGTGAGCCATGATCACGTCACTGCATTCCTGCCTGGGTCACAGAGTGAGACCTCCAAGCCCTCCCCCCCCATAAAAACTAAGATACTTCAAACCTTGTACCTAAATATATATATATATATTTTTTTTTTTTTTTGAGTTGGAGTCTCACTCTGTCGCCCAGACT